TATATGCTTACATTTATGAAGGAAATGCTTTTCCAAATTTCTCTGCCCTGCTTGAAGATTTGACCTTCCTGGTTTGTGCTGGAAGAGCAAAGTTTGTCTGAGGAAATCAGCTCTGGTGCTTGTCATTTGTCTTTCATTCTGCTTTGACACATATGTCTCAATCCTGTGAAAAGACAGGAGCTGTGACTTCTAATTTACTTACCTGACATTTCCTTAGCAACCATCCTCATTGATTGATTCATATGAGGTAGCTTTATCAGAAGTCACAGCACTTTGATTCACAGACTTTCTGGACAAATACAGCATGGACAGCTTGTGAACTGTGCTTACAATATTGGTCTATTCCAGAGCCTTTTTTCAGCTGGAACTCACTGGAACTCAGTTCCGGCACCTCTCAGGTGGGCACCATTGCCATTATAAGAGAACAAGGGATGTATTCGTGGTGAGTCCTGGCAACTCTTTTTCTAGAAAAATAGCACTGGTGTATTCCCTTTGTGTGTGACAAAGGGTCGTGAGCCAAAAAAAGGGCCTGGATGAGCTCCCTTACTCCTTTGCCCGCTGTGTTGATAATAAAATAAATTATCCCAATCAGAACACCTGGGACAGCAGATGAAAAACCTATAAATGATTATGCAAGAATTATTCCAGAGACAAAGGCCAATAGCTGAATTGAATAAATGCTTTCTAGCCATGAGAAGTCCCTGTTATTGATTCTATTCCAGAGATTTAAGCATGAATCAAGTGGAATTACTCTTCTACCACCACAGTTCATGATAAAGCTCTCTCTACTAGCAATCTCTCAAGTTTCCCCACAGCCTGCACATAAGAAAGACTTCAAAATTTCAAGATAATTCTCTGTCAGGCTATGCTTTTCAAACCCTTCTCTGAAAGGTCTCACTTATCAGGAAGATTGGCATATACCAAGGATGTGCACTGGCTCTGTGTGGGGAGTGAATAATGAGGCAAATCACAGTGGTCCAGGAATCTTCTCCCCTTACCAAGCTGAAACACCATGTCAATAAACTTTGACTCAGGTCAGGATCTTCACAAACTTATTGTAAAACCTTGCTGTGTGGCCACAGTGTGCAGCTGTAAATATGCCCAGAAGACGGCAGGGATGGAATCCCCTCATATATTACACTTCACCATATTTTTGATTTGGTTGATTTGACTTAATTAGACTGGCTTGCAAATTCTCTAATTTGTTATATTTTATAAATGTAAGCTATTCCTATAATGCTGAGTCATCTTCCCAGTAAGTTGGCAAGACCTATTTGTCTGCAGTTTGATAGGCTTCATCCACTCTAGGGGGCCTCCTGGACTACTACATTTCATCTGCATGGCCAAAGGGGGACAAAGTTATCGCTTCCCTGTTGCAGAGAATGAGGAAACATGGAGCTTCATTATAAACAGAGTGACTTGGTGCCTGAATTACAAATCAAAGTGAGGGGAGCACAGAAGAACTCAAAAGCAAATCAGAATTTTTAATTTTTCAAAGTTAACATCAGGAATTTAGAATTTAAATTCAGGGGTTTTTTAGTCAAAGAAGTGTGTGTGCATATGCATGCATGAACTGTATATTGTGTAACAATCTGATTGTTGTTGTTTGGTCGTTTAGTCTTGTCCAACTCTTTGTGACCCATGGACCAGAACACGCCAGGCACTCCTGTCTTCCACTGCCTCTGCAGTTTGGTCAAACTCATGTTAGTAGCTTCAAGAACACTGTCCAACCATCTCGTCCTCTATCATATAATGGGATCCACTAGTATTTATCCAAGCAGCCATACTGCTGTAAGTCATGTTCTGGGCACATTAAACACAGGGTGACTTTGTCCAGTGGCATGTGACTTGGAGAGTGGCAAGGGAGAGCAGAGTTCATTCCCCATGTCTAGGCTTTTACCTCCCACAGAGGAGTCCTTTCCATGAGATCTCAGAAGAGAGGGAAGGTGGGCAGAAGTTCAAGGCTATTTATTTCCACCCACACTTGGGTTAGATTTTTTCCCTCTCAATCTTAATTGGCCCTTGGTTGGGTTTTTTCAGCTTTCCCTCAGTGAAGCGTATGTCTTTATATTGTTAGGCATCAATAATGTTTGTTATGGATAAGGTGGAAATGACATTGGACAAGATCAACAGAGTGAAGGGCCAACCCTTCAGGGGTCTCAGGGGATGATTGGCTATGGCATGCCCTAAGCTCATGTTGAGGTCTCTGCCTGGCTGGAATCTTCACCCTAGTCACCCAGTGTGACCCCGGGAGCTTGGCTTGCACCATGAAAAGGTTCAACACTGGGCAATTTCCATGGAAGGAGTTTATCGCTTCCCATCCCCAGCAAATTTCAGTTCAGCAGTAGGGGGCTGAGGGGAATGATGAACTGATCCTTGCCCTACTGCCATGCCAACCCTGCTTTACCTATTGTAGTCAATAAAGATTTGGCCTGAATTTCAACTAACAAGCAATTCCTGTTTCAGTTATTTCACAGCTCGCCCAGGTTAGAGAATGCATCTGCCAGGGCAATCACGTCATTGCCCATAGCCAATTTTTTATTTTATTAGGCCACAATAGAGACATTGAAAGAATGCATGACTAATATTTAAAACTTAAGAGTCCTACTTCCAGTGTTTAAATCTTTACTCATCGTTGATTCTAAGGATTGGTTTCATTTTCATAAGTCTAGTAGCTGAAACTATTTTTAAAAACTTCCATAGATTTTCTTCAGGGCAGTTTTCAAGTTCTGATTGTAGGCACTAGATACCCTTTATGAGCTAATATGCATCCAGTACCTTTCATCAGTGATTTCCACTGCTATAAACTGATAAGAGTTTTGTGCACCATATAATTTTGATAGTGATGTAGTCTCAATTCTAATGATAACAACCAGTTATAAAATAGCCAGACCTGAATAATATGTTCTTTTTATAAGTGCTGCCTCATAGTCTTTTGCATTTTAATGCAGCTTGGTCATTTTAATGCTTAATGTACTAGCAGCTAAATAATGATTTAATTCATTAGCTGCTTCAAACTCATCTGTGCTTTTCCCCACCAAGTAGACCTATCTAGTTATAACTTCTTTAGGCCTAACAATGTGATGTTGACCTAAGATTTGTGTCTCTTTGAAATCAAAAACACAGGAAGTGCTGGCTTTATCCATATTATAGCCTGGGTCCCTTCCTGTGTTTTTGAGTTCAAAGAGACACATATTGATTATTATTTGAAGTCTAAAATATATTAATATTTCCCAAAACCAGCATCATTAAGATGCCATCTGGATTTATGGAAAATATTCTGTGAATAGTATTAATCCGTAAGAATCTATTTGTGGACAGGACATGGAGCAGCTTCACCCATAAAACTCTTCCATTCTGAAGCAACAATGATAGCCACAATGTCAAAAAGAAGCTATATAACACAGGCTCCATGACTTTCATGGTCGGGTTCTAATTGATCAACATATTTGAAGATGAGACAACAATATTGCTTGTTATATTAATATCTCACCTTCCCTCACTGCGTTATTTTTAAGTATCTCGAGCAAGTCAGAAAGAATATTCAAAGGACCATATTTCTGCCAGCTGTAAATGAGATGCAGTAGCTCTGTAAGCTGGGATGGTTTATCCTTAATTGGAATTTGTATGTACTGTATTTATCTCTCCCCCCAATCTATAAATAAGTCTTGTGTTTTGGCAATTACTGATGTCTGCTGTCATTTCTCAAGGCTGGGCTTTTGATGAAGCACTCAGTGTTATAGGCTAATATTTCTCATTCCTATCAGCTCCTAATTCTATTTCTGTATGGAAATATAGCCAAAGCTTTTTGCATGATGATTTTCTTTTTCTTTTTTTGCCTCCTAGAGAAATAAAAAAGATGGAGATGGGAAATGATTGAGGGCTTCGGGTTCTACTCTACTCAGTTTTCTTGAGGGGAAAGGTTCCATGAGGCAAATCTTTTCTTGAGGAATCACTAAATAAAGAGATGAGTCCCCCTAGCTTTGTCTGTTGTGCCGTGAAATTTTATTGCAGAAGAAGTTGGGGGAGATCTAAGCCAGCATCGTTTGAGCCTTACTCAAAGTGACTTCACTAACCCTACAACACACTACAATTCCATCTATAAACATGTATTCCAGCAGGTTTCATATTTATTTTTATATTTGATGTGCTCTCTAAATTGAAACAGCTTTTTATGCACCTCCTTTTTTTACCTTTGCTCTATACATCTCTCTCTGTGTTGCTCTTTCTCATATCTTTCTTTAGCTTCTTAGTCTAAGTTTTAAGACTGGAATATTCAACATTCAACAAATATTATTCACATGTCTTTATACCTCATAGAGGAGATGGACTCCATGCACTGTCAAACTAGGGATGGATGAATCTGTTATGTAATTTCAGTTTCTCTCAGTTTCTGTTTTTTCACTCTTAAATTAAGTTCATTTCATTTCCACATCAGCTTGTGTGTTTTTTAAAGCTTGCATGAAAATATGTTCATGCATGAAAATGTGTTCATGAAATAAAGCGAGATGAGCACCGCAACCCCAGAGTCAGTCACGACTGGACCTAATGGTCAGGGGTCCCTTTATCTTTAGGGATGCGGGTGGCGCTGTGGGTTAAACCACAGAGCCTAGGACTTGCCGATCAGAAGGTCAGCAGTTCGAATCCCTGTGACGGGGTGAGCTCCTGTTGCTCGGTCCCTGCTCCTGCCAACCTAGCAGTTCGAAAGCACATCAAAGTGCAAGTAGATAAATAGGTACCGCTCCGGCAGGAAGGTAAACGGCGTTTCTGTGCGCTGCTCTGGTTCGCCAGAAGTGGCTTAGTCATATTGGCCACATGACCCGGAAGCTGTATGCTGGCTCCCTCAACCAATGGGACCTAATGGTCAGGGGTCCCTTTACCTTTACCTTTATGAAAATGT